TCTATTTTTAGTAGAGACGTGGTCTTCCTCTTGCTCAGGCTGGTCTGGAATCCTCCTGACCTCAAGCAATCCACTGGCCTCGGCCTCCTAGATTCCTAGGATTACAGGTGTGAGCCACCCCACCCAATCCCTAGAACAATATTTAAAGAGATCCATTTTAATATGTGAAATCTGTAAAGATTGTTTTTAAAATTAAGCATTATTACCAAAACAGGTTGTCTATAATATTTTACTTTTTTAAAAAAGCAATTTAGGCTGGGCGCGATGGCTCATATCTGTAATCCTAGGACTCTGGAAGGCCAAGGTGGCTGGATTGCTTGAGGTCAGAAGTTCAGGACTAGCCTGAGCAAAGTGAGACCCTGTCTCTGCTAAAAATAGAAAAACTAGTAGGTGTTGTGTTACGTCTCTGTAGTCCCAGCTACTCAGGAGCTGCCGCAAGAAGGTCATCTGAGCCCAAGAGTTTGAGGTTGCTGTGAGCTGTGATGCCAGAGCGCTCTACCCCAAGGTGACTGTGTGAGACTCTGTCTCAAAAAAAAAAAATAAAAAGATTAAAAATGCAATTTAGTCTAGTCCACTCAATTACATAGCCAGCTTTTTCTTTTTGTTTCGAGACAGAGTCTATGTTGCCCTCAGTAGAGTGCCTTGGCATCACTGCTCACAACAACCTCAAATTCTTGGGCTTAAGAGATTCTCTTGCCTCAGCCTCTCAAGTAGCTGGGACTACCAGTGCCCACCACAATTGCCCGCTTTTTTTGGTTGTAGTTGTCATTGTTGTTCAGCAGGCTTGGGCCGGGTGTGGACCTGCCAGGCCTGGTATATGTGACCGGTGACCTACCCACTAAGCTACAGGCACTGAGCCACATCGTCAGCTTCTCAACAGCAGGTACTTCCAACACTTCTGTTGTTTTTCATGGTACTTAGCAGCATAATGATGGGCTTATTGAGTGCTGTGTACCGGGTACCATTCTAAGCACTGTGATATTTCAACTAGTTTAGTTTTTACAACTCTCATTTTAGAGATGAAAAAAACTTGAGTGTCTAATAAAGTGTTCAAACTGAGATTTGAACCTAGGTAGTCAAGCTTTACCCAGTCTGTACTTGCTAGATGTCTAAGAACTTAATAGGAACTATCCTTTCTTTTTCCTTTTTCTTTTGTCTTTTCTTTTCTTTTTTTTTTTTTGATACAGAGTCTTACTATGTCACTCTCGGTGTCACAGTCACAGCAACCTCATACTCTTGGGCTTACGTGATTCTCTTGCCTCAGCCTCTCAAGTAGCTGGGACTAAAGGCACTTGCCACAATGCCGGCTATTTTTTTGTTGCAATTGTCATTTTTCCTTTAGCTGGCCTGGGCCAGGTTCGAATCTGTTACCCTTAGTGTATGTGGCTAGCGCCCTACCCACTGAGCTTTGGGCACCACTCTTTTTATTCTTTTTTTGTAGAGACAGTGTCACTCTATCATCCTCATAGAGTGCTGTGGGGTCACAGAGCTCACAGCAACCTCCAACTCCTGGGCTTAGGCGATTGTCTTGCTTCAGCCTCCCTGGAACTACAGGTGCCGCCACAATGCCTGACTATTTTATTGTTGCAGTTTGGCTGGGGCCTGGTTTGAACCTGCTACCCTCCGTGTATGTGGCCTACCTACTGAGCTATGGGCACTTCTTTTTTGTGTGTGTGTGTGGGGGGGTGGACACAGTCTCAAGCTGTCACTCTGGGTAGAGTGCTGTGGCATCATAGATCATAGCAACGTCCAACTCTTGGGCTCAAGTGATCTTCTTGCCTCAGTTTTTCTTTCTTTCCTTTTTTTTTTTTAAATATAGATGGGGTCTCGCTTTTGCACAGGCTGGTTTCAAACTCATGAGCTCAAGCCATCCACCTGCCTCGGCCTCTTAAGAGTGCTAGGATCACAGGCATGAGCCACTGCGCCCGACCTGTACTTTTTTTTTCAACAGGGAATTTTATTGCTGTGGCATCACGTAAGCTAGAGGAAGTGTGTGTTTTTATTGGGATTATAGTATTTGAATATAATGAGGTATAACTCCATAATTGTCAGAGTGATTAGAGATTAGACTTTTACAGGGGGAAGTTTTAAAGAGTTTGGGAGAGCCATAAGGTCCAGCTCTCAACTATTTGAGGTTTGTTTTTTTTTTGTCTTCAGCAGTTCAAATACCACTTTATTCTGCTCTCTCAGAACTTGAAGTTTAGTTATGGAGCCACATAAATAATTAAGCACAAGGGGCTCAATGCCCGTAGCACAGTGGTTACAGAGTCAACCACATATACCGAGGCTGGCAGGTTCAAACCCAGCCCAGGCCAGCTAAGCAACAATGCAACAGAAAAATAGCTGGGCGCTGTGGTGGACGCCAAGTCCCAGCTACTTGGGAGGCTGAAGTAAGAGAATCACTTAAGCCCCAAGAATTTGAGGTTGCTGTGAGCTGTGATGCTACGGCACTCTACCGAGAGTGACATAGTTAAAGACTCTGTCTCAAAAAAACTTAAGTACAGGGTAGAAAGTAGTTGAATCATCAGAGACACATAGATTACAGAAACATAGTATTAGACTGAAGTAACCTCAGCATCTCATCCCTGTTTCTCAGAGTGTATCCATGAACCAGTAACTTCAGCCTCACCTGGGTAGAATCAGAAACCCTCCAAAGCTTCGGAATCTGAATCTATATTTTAACCAGACCCCTAAGCGATTTGTATTCTCATTAAAACTTCTCACGTAAGTTACAAGTTACATGATTCCATCAGTCTCTTTGGCCTTTTGAGGTCTGACAATTAAGTTCGCAAAGTCATTCTAGAATAAGTGCCACAGACCTCATTGCTGAGTATCACTACAGTCACATGGTTAACTCTTTGTCCAGTTGGTACAAATTCATAGTGAATAATCCTTCTGATTATCAAAAAAGGTCTGCAATGTTTCTTTGACTCTTGATTTGGACTGGTGGAAATTTTTTGGTCAAGGAGAATTGGCTGATATCCATTGTGCACTTTGACACTCTGTGTCAGTGTCATATCGGCACACCTGTGTTTCATCACCAATGGCCCAAAACATCATCTTGCCTCTTTAAAGATCTTTAGCTCTCTTTTGTTTTTGTTCATCAGTGAGCTCTTTCAGGATCATTTTTGCATACCTCTTTCTAATGCCAAGATTTTCATACCTAGGCTCAGTGCCTGGGCTCAAGTGGCAAAGGTGCCAGCCACATACACCTGAGCTGTTGGGTTTAATCCAGCCCGGGCCCACCAAACAACAATGACAACTACAACCAAAAATAGCAGGGCGTTGTGGCAGGCGCCTGTAGTCTCAGCTACTTGGGAGGCTGAGGCAGGGGAATGCTTGAGCCCAGGAGTTAGGATTTCCTTACCTGTTTTTCTATCTATGTTTACTTGGTCTCCTATGCTTCTCATAGCTGACAATTTTGATGCACAGCTCAACAAATTTTCTCAATGATTTTGCCATTTCTTATTACTGGCTGCCTTGACCTCTCTTCATCAGTAACACTTTCTCTCCCCTTAAAAAAGAGTTTAATCCATTTGTACACCGCTGTTTTCTCCATGGCATTATCTGCATAAACTTAGACTAACATGTCCCTGGTTTCACTTTCACTCTTGCCATTTTTAACAGGAAATTTAATGTTTGTTCATTGCTGTAATCCAAGGCTCCAACATTCCTCCAAGGAGAGACAAAACATGAAACAACAAACGCCAGTCAGTAGGACACTGCCACACGTTGACAGGAACACAGCTATAAGACACTGATAGGCTCGTGTTATCTAACCTTTCTGAGCTGTTTCTACAGTGCTGCCAACATAAGCACCTGGTGGCAAGTTCACAGACTTAATTGTCACATATTTAAAAGAGGGAAAGGAAAGAACATTCACAAAGTCGAAATAGGTGAAATAATGTCTATTAGGCTCTTTTGGAATTCTTAAAGTGTAACATAAATTTAAGGAAGCCAGTGATTGCTTGTTCCATTTATCTTACATTCAAGAGCATTTAGATTATTTGCTTTTTTTTTTTTTTTTGGAAATTCAGGAAAAAATATGGAATGCTTCATGAATTTGCGTGTCCTCCTTGCGCAGGGGCTGTGCTAATCTTCTCTGTATTGTTCCAATTTTAGTATATGTGCTGCTGAAGCAAGCACTAGATTATTTGCCTTTTAGAACATCTGAATTTATCTTTGTTTTTTTGGTAAGTTGTACCTGAAAAAAATCTACCCTATATATAAGATATTGGTATCATTAATGCCTTGACTGTATAATTTCCACATTTTTTTATTTTAAAAACAAATAGTAACTTTATTGTTGAAAGATAAAAATGATTTAAGAGAAACTTGGATTTTACTATTTGATAAATGATTTCATGATTATAGTCTTTTTTTTTTTTCTTTTTTCTGAAGACAGAGTCTTAAGCTGTTACCCTCGGTAGGGTGCTGTGCTGTCACAGCTCACAGCAACCTCAAACTCTTGGGCTTAAGTGGTTCTTTTGCCCAAGTAGCTGGGACTACAGGCGCCCTCCACAACAGTCCGGCTATTTTTTTGTTGCAATTGTCATTGTCGTTTAGCTGGCCTGGGCTGGGTTTGAACCTGCTCACCTTGGTGTATGTGGCCTACCCACTGAGCTACGAGCACTGCCTTTGTCTTTCTTTTTTTTTTTTTTTGAGGTAGAATCTCACTCTGTTGTCCTAGGTAGAGTGTTGTGGCATCACAGCTCACAGCATTCTCAAACTGTTGGGCTCAAGTGATCCCCTTTCCTTAGCCTCTCGAGTAACTAGGAATACAGGCACCCACCACAACACCTTGCTAGTTTTAGAGGCAAGCTCTCACTCTGGCTCAGGCTAGTCTCCAACCTGTGAGCTCAGGCAGTCCTCCCTGCTGGGCCTCCCAGAGTGCTAGGCTTGAGCCACTGTGCCTGGCCATAAAAGGTATTTTGGTTTTTTTTTTTTAAAGTGTTGTCTTATTGTGACTCAGAAGAACTTAGGAATGTTTTGTCTTCTAGGCTCATCAACAGAGCAGACGGGCAGACCGTTTATTAGCTACAGGAAAATACGAAGAAGCTATTTCTTGTCACAAAAAGGCTGCAGGTGAGTATTCTCAAGAAATACTAAGTTTAATACTGAAGGGAGTATCTTTCCCCTGTATCTCTTAACACTTTATTTAGAATGAAAATCATAGTACATGTGTTGGCTTGCATGTGCAAGGTTAACACTGCTGACCCACCGGAACATCGGCTTTGATTACTTTTCAAGTGAGTGTGTTAAATTCCTAGCTCCTCTGAACCCTGTCTTCTTTGTAAACCATGAAGATGTCATAAATACCATACTGGGGCTTGGTGCCTGTGGCTCAAGCGGCTAAGGCGCCAGCCACATACACCCAAGGTGGCGGGTTTGAATCCAGCCTGGCCCACCAAACAACAATGACGGCTGCAACCAAAAAATAGCCAGGCATTGTGGCGGATACCTATGGTCCCAGCTACGTGGGACGCTGAACCCAGGAGGAGGTTGCTGTGAGCTGTGATGCCACGGCACTCTACCCAGGGGGACAGTTTGAGGCTCCTGTCTCAAAAAACAAACAAACAAAAAAAAAACCATACCAGTAGATGATAGTTGACACAGCCCTCTGAGCCCAAAGATTCCAAAAGACAGAAGCTGACTGCAAGAAGTCTGTCACTTTATCTTATTCTGAAAAAAAGTCTGGGTTTCAAATTGTTGTTCATTTCAGGCTGTGAAAAATAACTAATTCAGTTCCAACCAACTCATTTTCACTGAGTTTCTATTTTTTAGATGCTGATAATACAAAAGCTACAAAGACTTTTGCCACTTGAAATGATGGATCCTGTGACTTTTCTTTAGTTTCCTTTCTGGGTATTTCATCTCTTCATGCTGGTGATTGTTTTCATTTAGGTATAAAGTTTAGAATTGTTGTCTTCTTATCAAAGACCTAACTTTATCAGATCTTTGAGGCCTGTTTTGTTTAGCTCATTTTCTTTTGGCTGAGTGACAAACCAGAAAGCTTTGGGCAAGGGGGTGTTTTATCACGGTACATCCAAAATGGATGTGGGTCATTTTTCTCAGAGTAAGCCTTGAAGTCTTTCTTATCCTCTTTTTTTTTTTCTCTGAAGGCAGAGTCTCACTCTGTCACCTAGGCTAGAGTGCCATGGCTTCAGCCTAGCTCACAACAACCTCAAATTCCTGGCTTCAGGCAATCCTCCTGGCTCAGCCTCCTGAGTAGCTGGGACTACAAGTGCCCACCACAGCACCCAGCTAATTTTTTTCTTTTTAGTAGAGACAGGGTCTTGCTCTTGCTCAGGCTGGCCTTGAACTCCTCAACTCAATCAATCCTGCCTCAGCCTCCCACAGTGCTGAAATTACAGGTGTGAGCCACCATGCCCAGGCTTCCTGAACTCTTTCTGTTGTAGGCACTTTCCTTTCCCTCTAGGCCAGTATTCTCAAAGCCAAATTCTCTTTCCTGACAGAGTCTGCCCTTTCCATGTTATTTTATTGCTGAAATACAGACTGTACATCCTGAAGTAAATCCTTTTACTTCAGTGACTTTTGCCTGCAAGTCACTGATTTTTCAGAGAAAATTTCGAGTCTTTTTTTTTTTATAGAATTAGCTTTGCTACCGAAGTGTATCCCATGTATCTGCTGTAGTAAGGTGACCAGATTTTAACGTTGGTAAAGCAGAACACCATTGACCGTGGGCCGGGGAGGGGGGGTTTCTTAATTAAAAATTTGGTCTATATGGAGCAACAAAAATGTTCATAGAATGCAAAAGTAGTATTGTAATATATATTTTTTTAATTTCAACATGAGTACAATTTACAAATATACATTAAAAATTATGTATAGTATTTTATTCTTTGGCATATTTCTCATTTGAGTTAATTTTTTTTTAGTAGATTGCTGTCGTTTAAAAGGTCATGAAATTTTTCACAAGAATTTGTTAAATTATATTTCACACATAAAATGGCTTTCAAAGTCTCAACACTTAATTGTGATTTTTCTGATGTCCACACTTTATTTACCGTAGGAAAAAATGCGTCCAATTGCAGCATTAGTTCCTCGTGAGGACAGCACGTATCGCACAATTTTTAGTGCATTATTGTATGGAACATGGTTTGTTTCAAAATGATGAAATATTTCTAACCATTTGTTCTCTATTGTGATTTTTGCTGATGCCCAAGATTTAATCTTTTCCTTATCAATATATTTTTTTAATAATGATACCTCATAACTCGTGTTACTTTCAAGGCCGGCGCTAGACTTTTTGCCGCCACTATAAAAGATTAATAATGTGAGTACTGTCTGCTAAATTCATGAAATAAATAAATAAATTACTTACCTAAATTATCTGAATAGCTAATTTGTTGACATCACTTGTTTCACTAGCGCTAGCATGCCGCAGTACAATGTGTATTATCTGAGAGACAGTTACAAAATGTTTTCATATTGCCAATGCCAAAAAATGCCATTGTTCATTAAATCAACTGATCAACAATGCAAACTTTGATAAGCAGTTCTTGATAATCAGTTCTCAACAATTATTTGTTATTATTAAAGTTTAACATTATAAAATTAACAAAAATAATATAAAACTCATATCCTGGCAAAATAGCCACATGGCAGCCAAAAACTGTCTGTTCCCTTCCCGTTCTCTAGCTTGTCCTGCTTCTTTCCAAAATCGGGACTTTTTAAAACGACGTGGGACAAATTGTTAAAAATCGGGACTGTCCCACCAAAAGCGGGATGTCTGGTCACCTTATGCTGTAGGGCTGACCACAGGTACTCCATACATCTCTGTATGTTCATGTGAGTTTTATGGGGGCTTTGCACAACATTGAATTTGTCAGCCAGTGCTCTTTAAGTCTTTTTCTAAACCATATTTTGTTGTGAAACAGATTGTTTAATTTATAGTCACTATAAAGACAATACGTTTAATTTTCTTTATGGGATTGGGGGGACAGGTCTCTATCTGTTGCCAGGGAACAGTGCAGTGGTGTTATCATAGCTCACTGCAGCCTTGAGCTCCTGGGCTCAAGTGATCCTCCTCCCTCAGCCTCCAGAATACCTGGGACTACAGAATATGCCACTGCTTCTGGCTAATTTTTCTATTTTTCTATGTTATTATTTTGTGTGTGTGTGTGTATGGAGAAAAAATACCTCTTTATTTAAGAAAACCAGTCAGCAGCTCATGTCTGTAATCCTAGCATTCTGGAGGCTGAGGCAGGTGGGTTGCTTGAGCTCAGGAGTTTGAAACCAGCCTGAACAAGAGTGAGACCCCTATCTCTACTAAAAGTAGAAAAATTAGCTGGTTTTGGTGGTAGGTGCCTGTAATTCCAGCTACTTGGGAGGCTGAGGCAAGAGGATCGCTCGAGCCCAGGAGTTTGAGGTTGCTCTAAGCTGGCCTGATGACATGGCACTCTACCCAGGGTACAGAGTGAGATTCTATCTCAAGAAAATAGAGAGATAACCATATTGTGTATGAAGGCTATAGTAAATACCTTTAGTTATATAGCCCAAATGGTCGTGGTTACATATATATAACATGTTGAAATGGAGTGAATCAACCTATGTTGTATGGAGAGCTAGGGGATGTTCTAAGTAAATAAAAGGGAGACTAGCCTAGGTACGGCGGCTCCCACCTCTAATCCCAGCACTTTTGGAAGCCAATGCCAGAGGATCACTTGAGCCCAGGAGTTCAAGACCAGCCTGAGCAACATAGTGAGTCCTGCCTTTAAAACAGAAAAATAAATAAATAAAAGGGAGGAAAGTTCTATTCCTAGCCTAATCCTTGTTTTTAATGACTTAAAACTATTGTTTGGTTTGAAATACCACCCCCCACTTCCCTTTCTATAATATTCTTAGAAGTAGAATAGATGAAGGCACATTAATTATGGAGATAGATCTCCCTGAACAGATTGGGAATTTAGACTTGGTTAAAAATAGCATTGTGTTTTGTTTTAGAGTAGAGTTGAAAATTTATTTGGTTGAAATGAGCTCACTTTTTCTAAAGTGACTTAAAGTTATGACTAGAGCTTATAATAGGTGTTTTAGGTGGTATGAATGTAGATGTATTCTGAAAGGAAGGAACTTATTTGGAAATCATTTTAGACATATAACGGGGAAAAGACGACATCTTAAAAAGGCAAATAGGAGGCTTGGTGCCCATAGCTCAGTGGTTAGGGCGCTTGGCGGGTTCGAACCTGGTCCAGGCCTGCTAAACAACAGTGACAACGGCAACAACAACAAAAAAATAGCTGGGCGTTGTGGCAGATGCCTGTAGTCCCAGCTACTTGGGAGGCTGAGGCAACAGAATCACTTAAGCCCAAGATTCTGAGGTTGCTGTGAGCTGTGACACCATGGCACTCTACCCAAGGCGACACAGTGAGACTGTCTCAAAAAAAAAAAAAAAAAAAAGCAAATAGGAAGGAAAGCCAGAAATGGGAGGAGTGAAGGGCAAATGAAGTTAGCCTGTGTCCAGCTCTCAAAGATCAAGCAGAGATTCCCAGACTTAAAAATTTACCATGAGATTACATAGTTAAGGAGGAAGACTCTGTAGCCTCTATGCTTTATAGTGTTTGTTTTATAAATATGTTCAAGAAGTTACTTGATTTTTTCTTTCCTTTTGTGGAAAAATAGAATTTGCTGTCAAGGTGGACAGTGGCTGAATGAAGTGAAACTGAGCATATGCACATTTCCCAGATAATCTGGGATAGCAAATCAGGAAGGAAAATACTGTCTAAATCTGGAAGCAGATGCCAGATTTTTTTCAGATTGAAAAAGGGTAAGTTGGCTCGGCACCTGTGGCTCAAGTGGCTAAGGCGCCAGCCACATACACCTAAGGTGGTGGGTTCGAATCCAGCCCGGGCCGCCAAACAACAATGATGGCTGCAACCTGGGGGTAAAAAAAAAAAAAATACAGCCAGGCGTTGTGGCGGGCGCCTGTGGTCCCAGCAACTTGGGAGGCGGAGGCAGGAGACTCGCTTGAGCCCAGGAGTTGGAGGTTGCTGTGAACTGAGATGCCACGGCACTCTACCCAGGGGGACAGCTTGAGGCTCTGTCTCAAAAAAAAAAAAAAAAAGGGTAAGTTTAAGAAGTCACAGTCTCCAGGGATTCACTATTGTTGGAAAAATCTTTTGCTTTAAACTTTTGGCCAGCAGCCATAACTGGATTGGTGTAATTCTCCCTTATCTGTCTCATGCAGTCCAGTTCCCTAAGTGAATTTCATTTTACGAACAACAAAAGAGCAAAAGCTTAAATGAGGAAGTTAATAATAACTGTTGGTAAAGCTTAGTATTCAAAATGAACATTCTGGAAGATGAACAGATTTCTCATCTTCAATATATAAGCAGTAAATACACATTTATTTCTATTTGATCAACATTTTGGTTGAAAACAGATCTTAGTTGGGCCTTCCTGTGAAACTGAGGTAACATGAAAATGATTCTAGAGAAGATCAGTCTTTATCATTCAAAGGTAATAGGTGATATTTTATGCTTTGGTGTGACTTTAACAGATTCCTGATAGAACAGTAATTGATGTTACTAATTAAATAATAAGTTCTTCAGAGTTTCCTGGTTTCTTTTTCTCATGATTTACTTAATATTACTTTGAACTTTAGCCTTGTGTCATATTAGAAGGAAACGATTTAACCAGAATTGTTTGATTTTCCTAAGATAGATATTAAACTTCTGTCTTGGTAGGCATTTCTTCCTGTTGTTAATCTGTGGCAAATCCATGGCCATGCAATTAGATAATAAAAATTTTTTTCTTTTAAAAAAATGGCCCAGTTGGGCGGCACCTGTGGTTCAGAAGGGTAGGTTGCCGGTCCCATATGCCAGAGGTGGTGGGTTCAAACCCAGCCCTGACCAAAAAAAAAAAAAGGCCCAGTTTGTAAGATTTAAATTTGGGAAATACTTTAAACAGTGAGATTCTTTGTTGAGTTGTATGTGCTTTGGGATATCCTTGGATATTCTCTCCTATCATGTTATACAGTTTCAGCATTCTACAAAGGGAGGCGTTTTTAGCTGGTTTAAACTTGGTTTTGTGGAAACTGTTGTATTTGTTAGGAAAGTGGGTTTTAAACAAACTGAAGTGTAGATAGGGGACAAATGTATGCAGGCAACATCGGAGGGATGTCCGAGAACATTCCTGCACACCACCTGCCCACCATATCAGAGCAATAGCAGAGCAGGTAGAATGTCTCAAGAGGAAAAGAAATGGTATGCAGCTATACAAACTTAATACAGGAGCAAAGATAAAGGAAAATTGAAGAAAAATATGTTAAGTATGACTAAAGACTCTGTTTTTTCTTGGAAAGGGCATCTACTTAATGGTAGATCTTAGCAGATAACAATTCTATGTCATGAAGTCAGAAAAATCATTAAAATATTTAGATCAAGGCTTGGCGCCCATAGCACAGTGGTTATGGCACCAGCCACATACTCCGAGGCTGACAGGTTCAAACCCGGCCCAGGCCAGCTAAACAACAGCGACAGCTGCAACAAAAAAATAGCTGGGCATCAGGAGGCTGAGGCAGGAGGATCACTTGAGCCCAAGAGTTTGAGTTTGCTGTGAGCTATGATACCATAGCACTCTACCCAGGGCAACTGAGTGAGACTCTATCTTCAAAAAAAAAAAAAAAAAAGATTGGACAGAAAGAAATGCTTTGTAGTTATCTGCAAAATGTTGATAAAGGAACTTAAAGCAGGAATGAAGGTACCAAAAAAAGTTTATAGTAAGCAAGAGATAAAAAGTGATGATTGTGTATGATCCATTATTAATAATACAGTACTAGGCTGGGCAAGGTTGCTCACGCCTATAATCCCAGCACTCTGCAAAGCTGAGGTGGGTGGATTGCCTGAGCTCACAGTTCGTGACCAGCCTGAGCAAGAGTGAGACCCCCATCTCAAAAAAATAGCTGGGCATTGTGGTGGGTGCCTGTAGTCCTAGCTACTTGGGAGGCTGAGGCAAGAAAATCGCTTGAGCTCAAGTTTGAGGGGTGGCGCCTGTGGCTCAAAGGAGTAGGGCACTGGCCCCATATACCAGAGGTAGCAGGTTCAGACCTGGCCCCAGCCAAAAACAAAAGAGTTTGAGGTTGTTAAACTGTGACGCCACGGCACTCGACTGAGGGTGACTAAGTGAGACTCTTGTCATAATAATAATAATACAATATTTATTATTTATACCTCACCTTGTTTCAGGAAGGACAGAAAATGTGTTACAGTGGAACAAAGGGTGACACATAGAATGTGATTAAAAATAGGTAGATGAGGACATCTGTAGAGGTAAATGGGAAAGGACTAGGATTATAGTTCATAAATGAACCATGAATTTTTGCATATTTATAGAGGAGAACTTGCCTTAAGCTTTCTTTCTAATAGCCCAGAGAAGAAAAGTAAGGATTTTTACATTGGCTATTTAAATTCAAACAAATTAAGTCACTCAGGATCTGATCCTAAGTGACAGAAGAGTTTGTTGAAGGTCTTCATAAATGCATTAAACTGTTTCCATTGAGTTCCTTACAGTAGGCCCCGTAACTCAGTAGTTACCTTGCTGGCCGCATACACTGGGGCTGGCGAGTTCGAACCTGGCCCAGGCCAGCTAAACAACAATGACAACTACAACAAAAAACAGCCAGGCATTGTGGCGGGCACCTGTAGTCCCAGCTACTTGGGAGGCTGAGGCAAGAGAATCACTTAAGTCTAAGAGTTTGAGGTTGCTGTGAGCTGTGACGCCATAGTTCTCTACTGAGGGTGACATAGTAAGTCTCTGTCTCAAAAAAAAAATAATTTAATTAAAATTTTAAAAAATTAAAAATTTTTAATTAAAAATTAAAATAAAAACTTACCCAGCCTAGTACTGTATTATTAATAATGGATCTTACATAATCATCACTTTTTATCTCTGGACACTTGTAGTTCTAACTACTCGAGAGGCTGAGGCAATAGAATGGCTTGAACCCAAGAGTTTGAGGTTGCTGTGAGCTGTGATGCCATGGGACTCTACTGAGGGCAGCATAATGAGACTGTCTCAAAAAAAAAAAAAAAAAGGACCAGTCTCTTGTCATGTGAGGAATACTGAAACACTTCATTTTACCTGTTAATTATAAAGTGATGACACTCACATATTATTGTTGTGTTTTTTTTTTACCAGCTTATCTTTCCGAAGCCATGACGTTGACACAATCTGAGCAGGTGAGGCACGTGCTTAATATTTGCAGCAAGGGTTAGAAAGATTTTCTTTTGTAGACTTGAGTTGTGTATAAAGTAAAGTGTTGTCCCCCTCTCAAAACACTCTAGTCAAAAATTTATTAAATAGGTAAGAGAAAGGTACTTCAGGAAGGAATGGAAACCAAATGAACTGCTGTTGATGTCCCAGACGTGGCATGAAGAAACTTCTGGCATTTTTCCTAGAGCAGGGGTCCTCAAACTTTTTAAACAGGGGGCCAGTTCATTGTCTCTCAGACCATTGGAGGGCCAGACTACGGGCGCTGGGACAAGTTGGCTGCTAAGCAGGACAGGCAGCAGCGGCAAAAACACCTAGCTTTTTGCTGGGCCAGATAAATGTCCTAAGCAGCCCGCGGGCCATAGTTTGAGGACGCCTGCTTTAGAGACTCCTCTTGGGACCTTTCCTAATCATTAGCTCATACAGGTGGACTACCTTTTGCTTGTCAAGATGTTTAAAACTGAACAGTCTCCCATTTGACTTTTGAATACTTAGGCAATTCAAGTCCTTTTAAATTAGTCTCACCAATTGCTTTAAATGTCTTCTGTGTTTCGGGAGGGCCTGCCTAGGTTTTTAATTTTTTTTTTGGAGACAGAGTCTCACCTTATCACCCTCAGTAGAGTGCTGTGACATCACATCTCACAGTAACCTCCAACTCTTGGGCTTAAGTAATTCTCTTGCCTCAGCCTCGCGAGTTGCTGCGACTACAGCACCCACCACAACATCTGGCTATTTTGTTGTTGATGTATTTCTCATTGCTATTTTAGCTGGCCAGGGCCAGGTTCGAACCTGCCACCCTTGGTATATGGGGCCAAGCGCTGGGGCTACCCACTGAGCCACAGGTGCTACCCGGGCCTGCCTAAGTTTTAAAAATGCCTTTATCCAAACACAATTTCTTGATTATAAAAGTGGCAGGTACCTAGGAAATACTGTCACTATTTGTCTGACTGAATGAAAGTGATCATTCTGTGAGGGATATCACTAGCAGGAAAAAGTACTCAAAACTGAACCAAGGGAACTTAAAAGTTGTGTTCTGTTCCATGTACTTCCTTTGACAATAGAGAATATAGTTATGTAACACAGGTGTTCATTGAGCCTTCTAAACACACTGTTAATAGGAAGATTTTTTTTTTTTTCTTCTGTTTTGAGACAGAGTCTTGCTCTTTTTCCCAGGCTGGAGTACAGTGGCCCAATCATAACTCTCTGCAGCCTAAAAGTCCTGGCCTCAAGTGATCCTCTCACCTTAGCCTCATAAAGTGCTGGGATTATAGTTGTGAGCCCCTGAGCCTAGTCAAGACTTTCTTTTTAATCATTTGTAGAGTTAATACGTCTAAAGAGGGAAGATTTCTGTTTTTGGTAGGAATAGAAAAGGCACATTTAGTGTGTTGATTAAGTATAGAACTTTGGATTTTCTGAATGAATAGTGTTTTGTTTATGAATAAAAGTGTTAGCTTAAGACCTAGTTATTTTGAAAAAAGTTTGAAGTTTTATTCATTTGTAAACATAGTATATAAATTCTAAGTGTTACCGAGTTATTCTGAAAGTTGGATGTTAGAATAGTATATTTTGGACATTACCAAAGAGACTTAATATTAAATTCTCCAAATGGTATCTTTCTTTCTATGTAATAGGCTCATTTGTCACTGGAATTGCAAAGGGAGAGCCACATGAAACAGCTGCTTCTCATCCAGGAGCGGTGGAAAAGGGCAAAGCGTGAGGAAAGATTGAAAGCTCAGCAGAACGCGGACAAGGATGTGTCTCCCCATCTTCAGACATCTCACAAACCCTCTGCTGAAGACACAGAGGGCCAGAGTCCCCTTCTTTCTCAGAAGTACAGCCCTTCCACAGAGAGACACCTGCCTGAAATACACGGCGTCTTTGACAGGGATCCAGACACACTGCTGTTTCTACTTCAGCAAAAGAGTGAGCCAACAGAGCCATGTATGGGAAGCAAAGCCCCAAAAGATGATAAAACAATTATAGAGGAGCAGGCAACAAAAATTGCAGATTTGAAGAGACATGTGGAATTCCTTGTGGCTGAGAATGAAAGGTTAAGGAAAGAAAATAAACAACTAAAGGCTGAAAAGGCCAGACTTCTAAAAGGTCCGATAGAAAAGGAGCTGGAAGTAGATGCTGATTTTGTAGAAAAGTCAGAGTTATGGAGCTTGCCACCACCTTCAGAAACTGCTGCAGCCTCTTCAACCTGGCAGAAGTTTGCAGCAAATACTGGCAAAGCCAAGGACATTCCAATACCAAATCTTCCTCCCTTGGATTTTCCATCTCCAGAACTTCCCCTCATGGATCTCTCTGAGGATATTTTGAAAGGACTCATGAATAATTAAAATGGAAGGGTGTAGATGAGATGAGAAGAGGAAATAATACAACAATACAGAGTTAATTCAGCAAAAAAAAGGGAAAACCACATATAAGGGTAATCCCAGAAATGCTTCATCATCTGGCGTACTGTGGGAGAGGAGAAATTGCCAGGACTTGGAAACAGTCACTGTGAAATACGTTGCATATCTGATTCACTGACTTGAGTTAATGATTCCAACTCAGCAGACACTAAATCTTGGAGGTTCACTTTCTCCTGATAAAAACCAAATGGCTACCTGGAATAATTTTTTTCAAGCAACAATTATTTTTCTTATCTTCAGGGTTAAAATATGTAAAAGTATGTTATGTGTAATTAATCTATAATGCCATAAATGATAATGCAAAACCTGAATAGTATGGTGGCCTGGTGGGCTGCCTTATATTTGAAACATGCTTTTTATCATGCATTGACTGTATGCATTTTGTCATGCACATTTTGTTTGTTTAAATAAGGTGTGTAAGATACACACTTTTCTAGATGAAACTACATGTGCCACACTTTGCACTACTCATAACATAATGATAACCTCAAGACTATCAGGAGAATATTTAAATTTCCATTTTATGAAGAAAAGAACCAAATTATTAGTTATGCTTTTTTAAACAAATTACCAGTTTACATAATTAATCAGGGTGCATTTTAAGTTCTAACTTTGTTTATTGTATAATGCATCATTTGAAAATACCAAGGAAATGTCCTTTGTTTTTAATGATGCATGAGTGGAAGTCTGCTAGTTGGCAGGATTTGATTGTAAGAAATAAATAAAATAATTGTGTTTTATACCTTTGTTGAATGTGGTTGAGAGTTAAAAGCAGGGCACTGCGTGGCTTCTGTGTTGCAGCTTTGGATGTGAAATGAACAGATGCAGTCACATGATTGCTTTGGTGTGTCAAGTGTTTTTTTTTTTTTTTCTGCAGTGTTTTGTAGTCTGTTTCCCCTTCTAGGGTGAAAGAGGGTGGTCCTGAGGCTTGAAAATATTCCCAACCTTTTTCTTGACCTCACACATGGCGTCTTATTTCTGGGGCATCTGCCACACAGCACAGTGGATGGGGAAGTGCTGCTGGCGTTCTTCTCTCTATGCTACGTTCGATAATACTGGAGGAGAGGGATGGGGAAGAGGAGAATATAAGCAAAACGTTTAGGCATAAGCCCCTGGGTGTGTTTATAGCATGGACTTGCCATGGCACAGGACTGTTAGCTTTGCCAGTTCTCTAAAACTATGAGCTTTATGTTTGACGTGAATACTTTGTAAATCACTCTCCTTTTCAACCAGTACTTCCGTCTTCCAGTGCCCTTCCCTTTCTTTACTCTTAGCAATTTGATACATATTTTTGGGGGATGCTTTTCTGTGCATTGCCACTAACAAATGTATATACATTGGGACTAATTTTACTTAAGTCTTCGAAGCTCCCATTTGCATTATTTAGTGCTCTCATTTTATCTGGTTCTTCAGTGACGTGTTAGAGCCTGTTACTAGCACGTATGTGTATGTGCCTTCTGACCAGGCCTGTTGTGGTACATCTGCAGCATCCTAGCAGATTGTCTTCCATAGAGTGGATGCTTATAAAAAGAAAACAAGCAAACCCCAAACTCCACTTGAGTTATGCATTTTTGCTTTTTAACACTTGGTAGACCCTTTTATGTTTTGGATGTCACTATTTTTAGGGCCTCTGAGCCATTAGACATAAATAATGTATAAACCAATTGAGGTTCTGAGTTTGGTGAAGTTGTGTATCATATTAGGGAGCACAGCCAAGAGCAAAGAACATGGTTTACTGGACCACAGGGGCCAATCGAGTTGTCTGATTTTCTTCTGTGACCAAGGAACCTGGTCATCCAAACTTCACTCCCAAACTTCCTCTCTGCTTTCTAGGGAGGAGCTGGAGACTACAATATTGCGATTTTATAAGAAGTAATGAGTAATTTGGTCTTTGCCCCTAGTTTCTGGCATAGAGCTCCTAAGACCTTTATAATTTCCATGGCAATGAGTGTCTTTTTATTCTGAGGCAACTCTTGCTGGGGGCTGGAGCCCCCTCTGGATGAGGCTGGTCACCAGAAAAGCCAAGCCATGATTATTTGGAACTTTCAGCCCCACACCCCATCCTCTGAGAAGAAAAGAGGGGCTAGAGATTGTGCCATGTGAAGACACTCTAAAAATCCCTGAACTACAGGGCTCCAGAGAGCTTCTAGGTTAGTAAAAATGAGAAGGATGGATGGTATGCCCTGAGAGGACATGGAACCTCTGTGTCCCTTGCCTCTACATATCTCCTCCATTTAACTGCTTCTGAGTTGTAACCTTTTATAATAAATGGTTAAGTGTGTTTCCCTGAGCCATTGTAGCAAATAATGGAAACCAAAGAGTGGTGGTGTGGGAACCTCTGATTTATAACTGGTCAATCAGAAGCACAGGTCAAACCTGGGACACAATTCTGTCTGAAGTGGTGACAGTCTTGTATCTGACTAGGTCAGTGGTTCTCAACCTGTGGGTCACAACCCACAGGAACTGTATTAAAGGGCTGCGGCAGTAGCAAGGTTGAGAACTACTGGACTAGGTAGTGTCAGAATCAGGTCAAATTGTAGGGCACGGCTCATGCCTGTAATCCTAGCACTCTGGGAGGCTGAGGTCAGTGGATTGCCTGAGCAAGAGCAAGACCCCGTCTCTAAAAATAGCTGGGCGTGGCTCGGTGCCTGTGGCTCAAGCGGCTAATGTGCCAGCCACATACACCTAAGGTGGTGGGTTCAAATCCAGCCCGGGCCCGCCAAGCAACAATGATGGCTGCAACCAAAAAATGGCCAGGCATTGTGGTGGGCGCCTGTGGTCCCAGCTACTTGGGAGGCTGAGGCAGGAGAATTGCTTGAGCCCAGGAGTTGAAGGTTGCTGTGAGCTG